TTCTTTTTCGTGTATTCTAAACAAGCCCCCTTTCTTGTGTTCTAAATCCTAAGAAACAGTTCTACTCTGTCCTATAGAGTAGTTATGAGTCAGAAGTTCTCAGTTCTCTTATTATTCTTTAGTTAAATTCAATATTTGAAGGGATCACTTAACAAACCTCTCTCATGTGTGTCCTCTTCATGAATCCCTGGGCTACATCTGGTTGCAAATTTAAGATGTTATGTTTTCCTTTCAGACCAATGGGAAGAGAATGCATCATAGTAGACACATATATTTAACATATATGAATATTTATATAGTAAGGAGCCCTAGTCATGCTGTGGATTAGATCTTGGACAGCCAGACACAAGCTCTTTGGTTCAAACTCACCAGTTACTCCAGGGGAGAAAAATCAGGCTGCCGATTCCTGTAAAGATTTACAGCCTTTTCAGGGTTTGGGTGTTTGGGGTTAGAATTTATAATAGACCCTTGGGGCACAGAGGCTAAACACCCCTCTACTAAGTGAAAGGTCATTGGCTCAAAGGTCACCAGCCTTTCTGTAGAAGAACGATGTGACAGCCTGCTACTCCTGTCTTCCAAAGGTAAAAGTGCTGTTCTTCTTGCTGCCCACTCCACTTAGGGAGCAGGGAAAGTTGCCCTCTGGCATTGCTACCCAGCTAAGCAGTTAACCCAAATGGCCACATAGTTCAAGTCATAGGACCAGGCTGTAAACCCACATAGCACATAAAACAAACATCAACACATTGTGGTGTTATAAACTTTTCATTACTATATGTGAATGGCGATTGTAACAATTCTCTAGGGAGATACACCCAATTTGGTAAAAATCTATCTATTTTATTTAAAGAGTTTTATTTACCTAACTTCTTTTAAAATTTACTTGACAAAATGATTTATAATGATGAAACAAAATCATAGTGAAAATTCATTCTCATTGCTATGAGTGGGAATCAATTTGATGACAGTGGGCTTGCTTTTGGGTGGGACAGTGCAAACTGAGAAAACTGAGCTTTCTATTAATACACTTTTCTGTTTCAGCGGCTTACAAAACCACAAACAATAAATCAAGCCAGCTAGCTTTGAGCTGGTGGCCCCAAATTGGATTATGGTTTGGGCTGCTAACTGCAAGATCAGAAGTTCAAAACCAACAGCTGCTTCGCCGGAGAAAAAGGTGACTTTCTATTCTGGTCGAGTTATAGTCTCAGAAATCCACAGGGGTCATTCTATTCTGTCCTAGAGAGTTGACAGTGAGGGATCTTCGTGTTGACCATGATTCAAGGTGCCCCCCCCCTCACCCGCCATGTATGTCAGCAGTAGATCACCAGGTCCTTCTTCTCAGGCACTCTTGGGTAGACTCGAACCACCAACATGTGTGTAGCAGTGATGCTCATTAACCATTTGCACCATCTGGAAACTTTTGTCTTTCTTACCCTGGCTTTTTCCTCCTGCCCAGTATGGATGGAGGGAGGAGGTTATCTGTCATTTTGAAAATATAACCTTGAGTTGCCTGAATGAGAAGTTAGATGCTATTTGATCTATTATTGTTCACTAAATAAAATCTTGAGTGTATTTGCATTTTATGGCAATAAATCAAAGGGTGATATAAACTGGGAGTCATTCCAGGGATTTTATATACCCTGAGCCTGGTCTAAAGACTATAAAAAGGGACATTTAAGTAACTGGCCTTAAAAGGGGCATTGGAGTCAACTGGGTGAAGCAGCTCAGAGAACCTTAGAGTTCAGCATGAAGTTTCTCCTATTGCTCCTGCTCCTGCAGCTCGCAGCTTCTGAAGCTGCTCCGGTGGCCTCTGAGAACAGCCTGGGAGAAAATGAGCTGAAGTTTGCTGAAGTAAGTATTGATGCTATAATACGTTTAATGTTTACTGCTTTGGCCTGCTTTATTCTGAACGGTTCTAGTTGAAAACTAATGTGGGAGGTTGTTCAACTTTACATTTTCCATAGGAATGCAATTGAGAGATTTGCACAATGGTCTGATTGAACTATCATCATCCCAGGTATTTCTTCAATCATAAAAAAATGATATTCTTAGTTTAAATCTCCTACTTTCCTAAAATTACAGTCAACTACTATCTATTTTCATAGTTGCCCATTATATAACACTTTGGGTTTAAGGCTAGGCATTTCCATTTCACCTTAAGGGACATTGCTCTTCATGGACTGTCATGGCAGCTAGCCAATGAGATCGGTGTGAAAGTAAAGACACCAGGCAGGACGAGGTGGAGATACAGAGGTGCTTCCTGTAGGTTTCCAGGAGTTAATCTTGGCAATGAGACATCTTTGATAGAAGACAACTTAATTTTTTTCATTATAAATAACAACTATCTAACATGCTTGGCTCAAAGCATCAGAGGCAGGCCACTCCAACAGAAATCTCTACTTGCGTCTTAATGTATACGAAGCTTGGGTGGTCCTGCAGGTTAAGACGGGGACTGCTCAGCTCACGATGTGGTGAGCAGCTCGAACCCACTCCCTCTCCTAGGAAGACAGATGAACCTGCTTGCTCCGATCAAAACGTGACCTCATGGTAGCAGGTTTTGTAATGTATTACCAACTATTCTTTTTCCCCTCCAGGAATACTTGAAAAAATTTTATGACTTCCAAGCACAAGGGATTTCAATGACAGAGGTGAAAACCAATGAGCAGCACCTGGAGGAAAAAATCCAGGAGATGCAGCAGTTCTTCGGGCTGGCAGTGACCGGGCGGCTGGACAAACCCACTCTGCAGCAGATGATCGCCCCGCGGTGTGGCGTGTCGGATGTGCATTCTCACAACGTACTGCAAGGGAGGCCAGTGTGGTGGAAAAATAATCTCACCTACAGGTACTTGTGCAGCCGCGCATTGGCGGTACATAAGCAGCCCCTTTCTGCAATTATAACACTAAAGGGGCAAAACCAAAACAAAACGTGACCTATGGGGTTTTCAAGAACTGGTTTAAGTAAAGAGTCAAACCATGTAAGACTGGAAGCTGCCCTTTGGGGTTTCTGAGGCTGTAAACCTTTACAGGTGCAGAAAACCTGTGGTTCTCATGGTGGCGAAGCTGGAGGATTGTAACTGCCAGCCTCGCTGTTAGCTGCCAAGGCTCCCACTAGGCCACCAGAGTTAGTTACTGAGTCCACGTACCATTTGGAATACCCAGGGATATTAACCTACAAAAACTCCAAATTCGCTGCTGTTGATGGTGACCCTATGGAGGGTTTGCCAAGATGGTAAATCTGTCTTTTAAAGATCATTTTATTGGGGGATCTTACAACTCTTATAACAATCCATACATCAATTGTATTGAGCATATTTGTACAGATGTTGGCTTCATCATTTTCTAAACATTGACTTTCTATTTGAGCCCTTGGTACCAGCTCCTCTTTTTTCCTCTCCTTCCCCCACCCTCCTACCGTCGTGAACCCTTGATACATTATAAATTATTATTTTTTCATATCTCACACTAGCCACTGTCTCTCTTCACCCATGTTTCTGTTGTTCGTCCCTCTGGAGGATGGTGGCTATGCCTTGACCCTGGTGATTGATTCCCGCTTCCTCCCCTTCTCCTTCCCCCTATCCTCCTGGTATCGCTACTCCCATTTCTGTTCCTGAAGGGTTTATCTGACCTGGATTCCGTGTGTTGTGAGCTCTTATCTGTACCAGTCAGTATACATGCTCCAGTCTAGCAAGACTGTGGTCATGAATGTGGGGGTGTGGGGGAGTGGTGAGGAAGCCTCAGAGAACCAAAGGAATATTGTGTTTTATAGTGCTATTCTGCACCCTGGTTGACTCATCCCTTCCTTGTGACCCTTCTGTGATGGGATGTCTTATTGTTTACAGATGAGTGTGGGGCTCTGATCCCCCTCATTCTCAACAATATGCTTTTCATTGTAGTTTTGGGTCTTCTGATGCCTGTAACCTGATCCCATGGACATCTCACGATCACACAGGCTGATGTGCTTCTTCCAAGTGGGCTTGCTTCTTCTCTGCTAGATGGCTACTTGTTTAACTTAAAGCCTTTAAAACCCCAGACACTATATTTTTTGATAGCCAGACATCATTAGCTGTCTTCACCACATTTGCTTATGCACCCATTTTTGTCTTCTGCAATTGTGTTGGGAAGGAGAGCATCACAAAATGTCAGGGTGTTAGAATAATGTGCTCTTGTGTTGAGGGAGGGCTTGAGCAGAGATCCAAAGTTCATCTACTTCCTCAATGTATTACCATATAAATATATGTTCATAGGTCAATACCTCTATTCTTATGAATTAATATATTTACATATGTACACACCTATGTGTACCTCTATTTATAGTTCTGCTTCCTAGATCTTTCCTCTATTTCCTTTTACCTTTCTCCTGCCCCAGCATCAAGGTGGTAAATCTTTACAGGAGCAGAAAACCTCATTCTTTTTCTCCCTTGAGGCAGGGGTTGGGTTTGAAATATCAACTTTGTAGTTAGCTTACCCTCCAACCAGGGTTTTGATGGCAAGGGGCATTGTTTACCCAGGGAAAACTGTTCAGCTTACCTATCTGAAGCCTGGCAGAAAAAGCTGAAAATAAAAGGAACATACAACTGAATCTACTAGAAAACAGCAGAGAAAAATGTATAGCACACAGAATAGATAAAAGCAGAAGTTTGGAAGCAGGCACAAAAAAGTATACATTTGTTTGGAAATCCTTCACAATGATAGAAACTGCCCATGGAAAGATATTTATGTATTTAATGAAACAAGTTTTTATAATTTGGAATTTCTCCTCCGATATTCGTAGTAGAAAGGGAAGTATTGCCATATAACTAACATGGATGCGATCTGTTTTTCTCCTGGACAATAAAGGATCCTGAATCACCCCTTTTACCTGGAGGAGAATGATGTTCACAGGGTCTTCGACAGAGTGTTTCAAGTCTGGAGTGATGAGACTCCCCTGAACTTCAGAAAGATTTACACAGGCGAGGCGGACATCATGCTTTCTTTTGCACGTAGAGGTAGAGAACTTGGATGTATTCTGTCTGTGGCCTTCGCCATGACCTATTCCATGCAGATTAATTTTCTCTCTTTCTTTAAGACCACGGAGACGTCGCGCCTTTTGATGGTAGGGATGGAGTCCTAGCCCATGCTTTTGGGCCTGGAAGTGGTCTTGGGGGCGATGCACATTTTGATGCCGAAGAAACCTGGACTCACAGCTCTATAGGTAGGCCAAAATATCACTTTAAGATATTCCAGATTATGGTCTGGCTCCAAAAGGCTACAATTTGAGAACAAGGGAGAAATGGATTTTCACATTGCCATTACAGAAATTCCATGTCTTAAGTTCTTTAAGACCAAGTCTTAGATTCTGAGGATGTGCTAGTTCTTCCACTCAGGAACTTTCAGAACAATAGCATGGAAATGGGGGAAAATCTGATCAAGAGTGGCTTTTGCCTCTGCGCTCCACACACTAATCACTGCTGTGTGTGCCCCTCGCCCGAGGATTGAGACAGACAGTGACACATAGGTCTAAATCTTTAGGGATGATGCTACTATCGAGGAAAAGTGCTTCTTCTCAGGTTAACCTTTAGACCCACAGTCTCCAAGAACTTAAATGAACACTATACTACATCAATGCTTTGTGAGTTTCTGTTATGGTGTTTGGGTGGTGGGTGTTTACGGAGAGATGGAAACGATCTGACCCTGGAGCACGCAATCTAGTGGGGAAACAAGCAGAAATCCATTTGAGCTGAGGACCCGGGCATGCAGTTTGAGGGCAGGGTAAATGCCAACTTAGGCCAAGTTAGAAAAGGTTTTGTTGACTTTTAAAAAGTGCTAGTATCACAATGGGCTGGGCATTGGCCTCCCGACCCAAAGATCTTCAGTTTGAACACATCAGCCTCTGCATGGGAGAACGAAGAACTAGTGTGCTTCTAGAAACATGGACAGGCTCAGACGCCTTATGAGGCAGCTCTAATGCACCCTATGGGGTCTTTGCTTACCTAATGCGGAGTGACAGCAATGACGCTCCTGCTGTTGGCCCCTTGGTTAGAGTCGGAAATACGTGTAGCATTTGTTCCTTGACGCTTCCTAAGCAGTGTAGCCTCTGATTAGCAGCCCAAGACTAACCTGCAGAACCAGCACTGTACCTCGCTGTCTGGAGTAGTATTAGTGTTCCAGAAATGGGTTTCATCTCCTTAATTGGAACTTTTATTTGGGCTTAAGAAGTACACAGGATGATTACTAAAGGTTTTCATAGCCCTGAAACTCGGTTAACAGCAGCAGCAGTGGAATGCAGACATGAGAGTTAAAGAAAGACACGTATGAGATGCTAGAAAACTCCACCACACTCTATTTTGTGTCTGCTGATGCAATGGTTCTAAATCTGAAGATAATTTTCCCCCCTGAGGAGATATTTGGGAGTGTCAAAATTGGAAGGGAGGTTGCAATGGGCATTTCAAGATTTCAAAACTTATCATAAGGCAAAAAAAAAATTGCCTCTGAGGAAACATAATAACGTGGACTAAAATGTCAGCTACAAAGCTAAGACACCCGGTTCAATAGGGTAGCAATGATCTACCAAGTATAGTGGCTGTCTTTTCAAATGCCAGCGTCTCACCTTATTTCCCCCATCTTTTTGTTCATTGTAGGTACAAACTTATTTCTTGTTGCTGTTCATGAGATTGGACATGCCTTGGGTCTTGACCATTCCAAGAACACCAATTCCATAATGTTCCCAACCTACAAGTATGCTGACACCGACACATTCCGCCTCTCCACTGCTGACATACACAACATTCAGTATCTTTATGGTAAGTTGAGTACCTTTACCGTACAGGAAAATGCCTTTATGAGTCATGTCTACATGTTCATCCAGTGTCAACAGATGCCCTTTCTTCTGAGCCCAGTGAAGACCATGTGAAGTAAGTAGCAGAGGCGGTACGGTGATGTTACAGATGAGGACCAGAGATCTAGTTTGTTGAAGTCAGAGCTGACGCTAGAGGTCAAGATAGAACCTGAGCCCTCAGGCCTCACAGCCTCTGGTGGTCTTTCTACTCAACGTCCCACTGCTCTGTTGGAGAAATTGCACAGAAAATCCTAATTTGAACAGGAGAACCAGACAATTAGCAGATTTTCTTCCAACTATATGAAAATTATTAATAGACCGTGGGTATAGAAAACTTTTAAGTTTCTTTCAATTTAATTATTCATCGAAGGTGTAATGTTAAATGTATTTTGATCCTATGATAGAGATTTCTTCCAATGTGTCTTGAAATGTTTGTTGTCAGGAACTACCGGAAATCACCCTCCCATGTTCGACCATGGAACTGTCTGTGACCCCAATTTGAGTTTTGATGCTATTACCACAATTGGAGACAGAATATTTTTCTTCCATGACAGGTAGAATTATTTTCAAATATAACCAATATGATATTTGTTAAATATAGTAAAATATGAAGTAGGTAAAATATGCAGAGTATTCAACTTGATATTGTAGTCACTGAAGACATGACAAGATTTTGAAGCAGAAAAACTGTGTGATTATTATTTTTAGCAGAAAACTAGCTTCTGAAGAGGGCTTTGATGTAGGACTCTCGATTGTGGAAAGGGAAGAGGAACTGGGGGAGTTGGGTTAGTATCATCCTGACAATGACGGTACTAGCGTTAGGAGATTTCTAAAGGAGTTAAGTAGACGTGATTTCTTGATTCTAGGATGACTTATGATTTCTGTATTGAAACACAGAGAAGTAGGCACTTGTGGGGGAAGAGAGATTAGGTTCTAAACTCTAAGATGGTTTCTAATACGAGGTTGTCTGTTTAAATCATTGTTACCAAAAAAGCTAAACTCCCTTCCTTGTGCTGCGCATTGTATCCAAAAAGTTCTATGCTACAGAAAATAAAGATAATGGAAAGAAATACAATTCATGTCACAGTCCTTCCTATTCAAACATTAATGATTGAGTTTGCAATGGCTTTTCACTTGCTTGTCCTTATCAGATTCTTCTGGTGGAAGGCCCCTGAGTCACCAAGGAGCTCTGCTTCTTTAATTACATCCAGGTGGCCTTTCTTGCCATCTACCATTCAAGCTGCGTATGAAATTGAAGCCAGAGATGAAGTCTTTCTTTTTAAAGGTAATTACAATGTTTAAAAATCCTCAATGGCTCATGACTATTCATGGACATAATTCCCCAAAGCATTGATGACATTGGTAACGGTGATTCTGAAAACAGCTCAATAGTCTTATCAATTTGTGAAGCGACGGTGCTATTTGAGAGAAAGCTGTGGCCCCAAATTTGCCATTTTAGCCAATGTACAATCCAGTGGCATTAATGGCATTCCCAATACTGTGCAATCTAGGATTTACAAAATGCTCAGTGGCTTGTACATTTCAGTCCATTCCTTATTCCAGATTTGTCAGTTTACACTGCATAAAAAGAAAGGAATAAGATGAATTCATGTCGATTTGTTATTTCGTACCTTTGAAAAATCCCCGTTGGTGTTTTTCGGCTGTGAAAAGGAAGTAATGGTGTTGTCCCCAATGCAAGCTAGTTTAGTCCTCAGTCTATCAATTAAAAAGGAGGGCAAGAGCATAAAAGTACTAACAAACAATGGGGAGAAATGAGACTGCCTATTAGTATTCTTATTACTTGTGTAATTTCAATGCACCTTCTCTTCTTTTATCTTTACAGATGAGCAGTACTGGAAAATTAAAAATCTAACCCTGCAGCCAGGCTATCCCAGGAACATATTTTTTCTGGGCTTGCCTTACGCTGTGAGAAAAATTGATGCAGCGGTTTTTAACCCACTTACCAATAAGACTTACTTCTTTGTAAATAATCGATATTGGAGGTGAGCTTTAAAACGTCCTGACCTCAGGCAGAAAATGATACCAAGAAAACATTGGCTTTTAACAGCTAATGAAACTCCATGGATCTAAAACCTTACTTGTTCACCTGTTTTGAGAAATTGTTTTTATCTCAGTGGGAAGTTGAGATGCCACAAGGCAATGAAAAGCAGCTAAATGCATCGTGGAGCTCTGTGCTATAGCAAATCCCCTTCAGTAGCAGCTTCCAGTTAAGGCAGCATGGAGACTGGGGGCAAGCAATAATGGGCTTACCTAGAGTAGGGCTTGGGTTTTTAAAAAAATTTTTTTTTAATTGGGTTGTTCAGACTCCTTCAGAGAGAAAAATGGGTGTTAGGGTGGGAAACTGTCAAGCATTAAAGGCATTTTCTGATTATGTTTCTGCTCTTTGCTCAGATACGATGAGACAAGAAAAGTTGTTGATGAAGGATACCCCAAACTGATATCCGAGACCTTCCCAGGAATTGGGCCTAAAATAGATACAGTCTTCTATTATGACAGTAAGTAGACCGTGAAACCATGAAGATAATGTGCTTTGGAGCAGGCAAACTAGAAGAATGAGAACTAGCTAGTAGAAGCAGTGGCTTATTAGGGTGGGTGCTCAGACAGTGGGGGTGAAGGTGGCAATGTGATTGTTGCTGCAGCCATGTGTCTGAGTCTGACATGCCCTACAGCCACACCCAGTTAGCAATCTGTAGTCTTTTCTAATTCTTTGTACCTTGGATTTTTCATGTACCTTCAAGTACTCCACTTCATCGCTGTATTATACAGTCGGGTCTCCCCCCCCTTTTTATCTCAGGAACTGGTGGGGAGTTGTCTTCAACTGTCTCCCGGCAAGGTTAGTCTAAACAGAATTATTGGACTGGACCAAAAGTTTTAAAGATTTTAAAAGATCGTCTTTTTTCCTCCCTCTGGTTGCCCTGTAAGAGCCCCGGTGGTAGTAGTGGGTTGTGGGTTAGGCTGCTAATCACAAGGTTAGCAGTTTGAATCCACAAACCCTTCAAGAGAGAAAAGGGCTAAAGTCTCAGAAACCACAGGGGCAGTTCCTTCCTCTTCGGGAGGGTCGCTGTTGACCGGAAGGCAGTGAGTTTGCTCTTGGCAGGGAGCTTGTCCCATACCCTACCTCAACAGACCCTCTGGGACCCTTCAATGTGCAGCGTGACTTTCCCCAAACATTTGCATCCTAATTGTAAGCCTAAGAAGACAAACAATCATTTAACATTAGTAAAACTGTTCTGCGGAGACGGCTGGCAGGTAGGGAACCAGCCGAGGAGCCCCACACATGCTGTCCAGCCAGAGCCTATGCCAACTAGATCGCCAATGAAAGCATTTTTAAAGAACAACAAAGACTAATTGAAGTTTGTTTTTATTTCTAGATCACTACTATTTCTTCCAAGGGTCGGACCAACTGGAATATGACATCTCTTCCAACCGTGTCACCAGAAGAATGAAAAGCAATAGTGGCTTTGGTTGTTAGAAATGGAATAATGTGTATCCATTAATTTCGGGTGTATATAAAGTGATAAAATCTAAGAGTCATAAATTTTAGGATTAACTTCTGGGATAGAGTCATTTTAAGCCAGAACAATTTAGGAAGCCTCCAGGTATCCGCCTGTCTACGTTCTACTTAAGCTGCAGTATTTTGAATGAATTGTTTTGTTCCTTCAGCAAACTCTTTCCTTTTAACACGGTCCCTTGGTTCTTTGGCCCCTTCCAAGACAAAAGCATACCTTGGACTAGTTCCTCTTTGGACTAGTTATCTCTTACCTATAATTAGAAAAAAGTTCAAGGACCAGTAACAGATAGGTACTTAGAACTTTAGGACGGACAGTTATGTAAATAGTACTTAAATTGTAATAATGTAATGATATTCTGTTCTTGCTGTTGCTGTCTTCAAAATATATGTTTCTCAAATAAAATTTTTGAAAGAACATCTGGCTTTTGAAAGTGACTTTGCTTTACCAGGGCTTCTTAGCTGGTCATCTTTTATTTAATTTAATTTATTTTTTTTTCCTTTTTTAACATTTTATTAGGGGCTCACACAACTGTTATCCCAATCCATACACACATCAATTGTGTAAAGCGCATTTGTACATCGTTTCTCAAAACATTTTCTCTCCATTTAAACCCCCGACATTACGTCCTCATTTTTCCCCTCCCTCCCCGCTCCCCCCTCCCGCATGAGCCCTTGATAGTTTATAAATGGGTATTTTGTCATATCTTGCCCTGTCCGACGTCTCCCTTCAACCACTTTTCGGTTGTCTGTCCCCCAGGGAGGAGGTCACACACAGTTCCATGTAATCGGTTCCCTCTTTCCTACCCATTCTCCCTTTACCCTCCCTGTTTTGCCACTCACACCACTGGTCCTATAGGGCTCATCCGTCCTGGATTCCCTGTATTTTCAGTTCCTATCTGTACCAGTGTACCTCCTTTAAATGACACAGAGCATTGTGTGATACTGTTGAAAAGGAATGAGATCAAATGGCTAATCCGTTATTAAACAACAGGATTCCTGTTCCTACTCTGTACTTTTGGAGCAGTTGACATAAGAATATCTTGAGGGGGATGGAAACATGAATCTGTTTTGAAGAGAAAAATTTCCATGTGTGGTTTAAATTCACTACTTAGAACAGCATGTTCCCATTTTTTTAATTGAATAAAATGTGACTAGCAGCAGAAAGATGGATCATGCCAACGAGGTCCTGGATTGTGTGTGCTCAGAACCAGAGAGGTGGATTTTGTTGACAAGCACGTCAGATTCATGATCAGCATGACCCTTGTGATGTTTTTCATGATTTGGAATGCTGACCCATCTGAGTGAGTGAGAAAGCTCTGTGTGTTTTTGAATCTTAGTAACACGATGGTGACCACTCATAGACATGTGCTTAAGTGGGTCACATCTGGGCAGCTCAAGTGGAGGCTAACGACCCAACTGACTGAGCTTCGAAAAGGGGGAGGGAGAAAGCAAGGAGCATGTTCCACATTCTGAAGATAAATGACCAGGCTGACACTGGGTTAGGAGATATAGCCAGTGCTCACCTTCCATGAATGGAAGAATGTCAGAGGAAACAAAGCTAGGAAAGGTTAAATCTATGCAGAAAGGATGCTATAGACAGATAAGACATGGGGTGGTAGGTAAGGGATGGTGGTGGCAGTTGGTTTACAGGAACTGCATAAATCTTATTTTGTGTACTTTGATTTTCATTTGGCTTGATTTTGGTTAGACAATGACCATCTATGTTGCTCATTGTCTATGTACACGTGAACAAATATTTTAACTTCGCAGTGGTTCACTTTGCCCCTCTATAAAGTGGGAAGCGAATTCCTACCTTGAAATGTGATTGAAAAGATTAGAAAGATCATACGTCGTGTGTGGAGCATTTGGTGGGTGATCAATATAGAGTGAGCGTCATGCTTTCCTACAACAGTTCTTTACATATGTTGTTATTTGCCATTGAGTCGGCTCCATTTTACAGCAACCCTATATGATAGACTAGAGCAAAACACTGTCCAGGCCAGAGCCACGCTCACAATGGTCACGTTCGAGCTCATTGTTACAGCCACCGTGTCAGCCCAGCTCCCTGAGCATCTTCCGCTTTCCAGGTGACCCTCGATGTTACCGTGCAGGATGTCCGTTTCCATGCCTGAAGGTGTGAAACCGTCTCATCAATCTCACTTCTCAGGAGAATTCTACCTGTACTTCTTCCAAGACAGATTGGTTTGTTCTTGTAGCAGTGCATGGTACTTCCAATACGCTAATTCAAAGGTATCGATTCTTACATTATCTTTTTCTACTACACAGCAAATCTTCTGTTAAAATTTGCTGAACCGAGTGATAGTCTAGATAACTCCCCCATCTCTTCAGTGGTTGATCGTCAGTCTTTGAGCACAAGTGCACAGTGTTTTTCTGTTCGTTTTTTTTTTTGGTTTTTTTGTTTAATGTTTTCATCCATTCATGAAGTTGATGGATGTCCAGAACGAGGTTTGTCATCAATCCACATTTCACCTTTTTTGAAACGAAAAAACCACTTGTACACTTGAGTTTTTCCCATGGCAGTCTTTGTAAGCTGTGTTTCACATCACAACAGTTTCTGTGGCATTTTTCCCCAAGCAAGAAACAAAATTTCACAGCTGCGCACTGTTCTCTTAAATTGGTTACCCCAGAAAACGCGGTTCTAGCAAACCTGCTTTTACAAAAACATTCCCTACAATCAGAGAGAACCTTCCCAGGCGACGCCATTGGTTGCACTCACTCATAGCCAGTTACTCGATGCTTGCGTAGCATGGAAAAATGTGTACTATAAAAGGTCCGCCCAGTGGAGTTTTTTGCTGTTTTGTGTGTGTGTGTGGTAACCCCCTCATATATGCATATGTGTACATATCTGTATATCTGACTGTATTTCTCTATACAGAAATATGACAGATAGATATACATACATTTGGCACAATATGAAAAGTCTCAGTTATTAATCATTTAAAGCTATATGAATTCAGAACCTTAGTGTTAATGGGGAGTAAACAGACCCACTAACACCAGCTGTGGAGAAGCATGAGTTAGCTCTGTTTTGGTATATCTCCAAGCCTAATTATGGTTGTTGTAGCAACGCACATTTCTATCCTGTCCTTCTTACAGACAGTGGCCCATTGAGAGAACTTGCTAATGCTAGCATAGTCATGACTCAGAAGAACATGAGACATCTCATAGCAAAAGCAAAGCAGTAGCTATGAGTGTTTCCTAACAGAATTGCCACAGATTTGTCAGGAACAGTAGCATATGTCAGATGCAGATAACATAACTTTGCTTGCTGAAAGTGAGGAGGATTTGAAGCAGTTGTTGGTGAAGATCAAGGATTGTAGCCTTCAGTATGGATTACAACTCAATGTAAGGAGGGCCCAAATCCTCACAACTGGCCCAAAAGGTAACATCATGATAAATGGAGAAAATATTGAAGTTATCAAGGATTTCACCTTGCTTGGATGCACAATCAGTGTTCATGAAAGCAATAGTCCAGAGATCAAACAATGAATTGCATTGTCTAAATCTGCTTTAGACCTCTTTAGAGTGTTGAAAAGCCAGGATGCTATTTTGAAGACTAAGGTGAGCCTGACCCAAGCCATGGTATTTTCAATGGCTTCGTATGCATGTGAAAGTTGGACATTGAATAAGGAGGCTAGAAGAAGAAATGATGCATTTAAATCGTGGTGCTGGCAAAGACTACTGAAAGCACCATAGGCTGTCAACAGGACAAACACATCTGTCTTGGGAGGAGTTGGCCAGCATGTTCCCTAGAGGCACGGATGACAAAACGTCATCTTTCGTACTTTGGACGCGTTGTCAGGAGAGACCAGTCTCTGGAGAAGGACACCGTGCTCAGTAAAATGGAAGGGCAGTGACATAGAGGAAGGCCCTGTTCAAGATGGACTGACACCGGGGGTGCCTCCACGCCCTCAGCACAGGAACAATTGTGAGGATGGTGCAAGACTGGGCAGTGTTTCCGTCTGTTGTGCATTGGGTTGCTGAGTCAGAACCAACGGTATGGCACTTAACAACCATACAACACAACAACCCCCCTCTTTTCACGAGCCTTGTAACACAGGGGATTCATCATGTTAATGGTAACCAAAGGGTTACATTTTGAACACACAAAGCATGATGAGGGAGGAAGATGAAGTTATTTGCTGCCTTAAAGATGTAAAGTCAGGGAAATCCTACGAAGCAGTTGTATAGGGTTGTTGTGAGTCAGACTTACCTTGAGGGCATGGGTTTGGGTTTGGAATCCCTCTTCCATTGTAGTTCATCTTCTAACTAGAAAGTTTGAAAGTCTGTGGGAAAGAGGAATAAAATATCAGCAACCATTGTCTGATTTCTATGAAAAACTTCCAAAAAATCCTATAAGCAACATTTTCTCCTACTTTACCATGCAGAAATATATTGCCTTTGGTTGATAGAATCCAGAAGTATAAAAAAAAACAAAAACAAACCCATATATGCACATGATGTTACAAATTTCAAATGGTCATCAGGATGTAAAAAGAGCATGCACAGATATTAAAAAACCATTAAAAATATAGTGAAAATGCTCATATTTTTCTCCCTGTGATGTGGCAATGTGATTTATTTTTTCTACTTTTTCATATAGTCTAAATTTTCTATAATGAATCTATTGAAAAACCAAACACCTCTGGGGTCTTAAAGGCTTGCAAGTAAACAAGCAGCCATTTAGCACAGATGCATCAAAGCCCACATGGAAGAAGCACACCAGCCTGTGTGATCACAAGGTGCCGAAGGGATCAGGGATCAGGCATCAAGGAACAAAAATCACATCATTGTGAATGCAGAGTGGGGACCCAAAGCCCATCTGTAGGCAACTGGACATCCCCTTACAGAAGGGTCTTGGGGAGGAGATGAGCTGGCCAGGGGGCAGTGTTGCAACAATGAAACATACAACTTTCCTCTAGTTCCTAAATACTTCCTCCCCGCCAACTATCATGATCCCAATTCTACCTTACAAATCCAGCTGGATCGGAGGATGTACACTGGTACAGATAGGAACTGGAAACACAGGGAATCCAGGACAGATGATCCCGAAGGAGGAACCGATAACAAGGATCTGCATATAACCTCCTCTCTGGAGGTTGGTCGACAGAAAAGTGGGTGAAGGGAGACGTTGGACAGTGTAAGATATGACAAAATAATAATTTATACATTTTCAAGAGTTCATGAGGGAGGGGGGAAAAGGGGAGGGAGGAGGAAAAATGAGGAGCTGATGCCAGGGGCTCAAGTGGAAAGCAGATGTTTTGAGAATGATGATGGCAACAAATGTGCAAATGTGCTTGACACATGGATGGATATATGAATTGTAATAAGCGTTGTATGAGCCCCCAGTAAAATGATTTAAAAAAACACCCAAGCACCCACGGCCTTGGAGTTGATTCCAACACATAGTGACCTTGCATAGGGTTTTCAATAATGTCAATGTAAGGGAACATAAAACCTCATCTTTTCCCCTTGGAGCAATGGATGGGTTTGAATCATCTCCCTGCTGTTAACAGCCAATACTTAATCCACAGTGCCACCAGGACGCTTTATGAGCAGATTAGGAAACAAAACAAAACCAACTTAACCCTTCTGGAGAAACATGATACACCACACTACCAACAGAAACTCAAAACTCTTGAGCGAATGACCTTCCATGATTAGGCTCCCGCTTCTGTTCCCACAACCTTAAGTTTTCTTTATGCCTCTTCCCCCAGCTTTTATTTTAATAAAAAAAATCCACTCTTTGCTTCTTCCTATATAGATGTTTCTTAAACTTTCTTGACGGTGCACAGTACTTATTCTGTTCTTTGACCTACCTGCCTGTTCACATAAGATAAGGCTCTACCTATCTGCTATGTTATTCCTGGGCTTTTTCTATCCATGTTCTCTGCTTATTCTCATATAACGTCTCATTTCATTCTTTGCAGATTGAGTTATGCAGGGATCTTCTCCTCTCTTAGATTATACCCAATGGTCCTGCTTTCTCTTTTAAAAATTCTTACTTTGATCACCATTTCTCTAACTTTCCTTTTTAATTTTTATCTCCAAATCTACAATCTTAGTTTGGGGATTCTGAAACCTGTGAGACTGAGACACGTGATAAATGAATGTGTATCTGAAAGAAGGGTTATTTCAACTAGAGGTGGTAAGTGCCATGCATTATCTAGCCTGGAGGGTCATGGGAAAGCATGGTAAATAGAAAAATGTATATTTAGCAGAATGCTATTTGGATGAACTGTCAGCTTTTGAATCCAAATTTTGATCAGACTGAAGAGGTTTCATAGCATTCTCTCTAGGAGATCAGATGTATAAAACCAGCTGCTACCTATTTCTTGATCATGGTTACCCCAATACAAGTTATTTTTCTGTGCATGTAGCTTTCATTTCTTTTTTGAAGAGGAAAAATAGTAATGCAGAAGATAAAGATGGAAGACCATTTCAATCTACCAAGTAATATCATTTATATAAACTCTGTAAGTATTGATGGAGCAGCTATTTTGAGTCTACTTCAGCTTAATAAATTGTGTACAGAATTAACATCAACTATGAGAAAACACTTCTTTCTTTTTCACAGGCTCTTTTCTCCTCTCTTGCCCCTGAGGTTTCCCTCCTCCACGACGAGCAAATCTAGCCCGAAATTAACAGAAGCCATTCCCCAGGGTGGCACGAATAATTAAGTCCAAGGCTCTACAAGTTGGCAGTCCAAACCCACCCAAAGGCACCTGGGAATAAAGGCTTGCCTTTCTGCTTCCAAAAGGTCACAATTGTAAAACTCCTAGAGAACAGTGCAATACATGGATTCCCATGACTTAGAACTTGTTAGTAACTATTATTTTGAACCAAAGATTCAGTTTTCTTCTAAATATAGATTATAGGCACATATGTATAGCATTTCATTTCTTTCCGTATTATTATTTTACAGTTTATTAAAAAAATTTTCTTAAAACGTAACTATATTAGAAAATCTTGCCCAATATTAATTTTTTACCAAGTAAACTCATTTCTCCTCAATAACACACAAGCCTGCACTGTGTAGTAAATTCCAGACTTTTTTTCCAGAGTTGTTTTTTTTTAAAAAAGCCCCGCTCTTCTCCTTTACTAAGACAGGAAATATTTCCTGGAAATTAATCACCGTTTTTTGCCTTGCAAAATCTGGAAGGTGGAGAGAAATTAGTAAAGGAGGCTGCATCATCATACTTTGGGTTAAGAATTTTTGGAAATGACCGTATTGCCGTTTGAATGAAAGACATCATGAGTCAGGCGGGTGATATAAATAAATATTGTCGCCCTATAAAAGTTGGGCTGCAGAGGGTGGACCTAGAAAGAGGTAGTCAGAAAGCAAGTAAGGCGCTGTCTTGGAGAAGAGCTAAGTGAAGCTAGTGGAAATGAAGAGTCTCCCAATCCTGCTTCTGTGCGTGGCTGCTTGTTCAGCTTTTCCTCTGGAAGGACCAGCAAAGGATGAGGACATGGATTTTGTTCAGGTAACTCAGGGAGGCCGCCATCTCACCAGCTGATAGGGGCAAGTCGGGAAACTCAGTGAGACTTTCATTCTTCATAGCCTGGTTTGAGCTTACTGTGTGTACATCATTACATCAGGGACGGACAGCTATTAAGTATGAAATGTGAAGCGTTCTCAGTACTGCATCACTCGGGTTTCCCTGTCTGTGTAGGAGGCACAGGGCCAGAAATGTCAGCATTTTGGGTTGGCCTCACACAGCACTATGGTAACAATAGATCGGAGTTTGAGGCACATCAATATAGTTATATTCATTATATGAGCATAATTCAGTGAAATGTGTCTTGTTTTGAGACTTCTCGATTCAATATAGATTTTACTAACTGTTTGACTTGCTCATGTCATGTTTGGACAAAGGGATTTGTCCAACATTTTTGTTAACACCATGCAAAGTGGAATGTTGAGGACATGGGATGATTTTACCTAAAACATACAATTATGACAAAGGAGGTTTATTTGTGTTGTTTTCCTTCTTTAAGCTAACCAGACATTTTCCTCAATTTTCCACTTTACTCTGATGGCTTTGACAGTAAACTAAGTTGCAGAAGTTTTTAGTTACAAAGATACAACACAGCGAAGAGGGAAGCTATAATTCAAGAATGAAAGAAAAATGCGATTTGTTTCAGGAAGCTAGCAGAATGCCTCAAATTTATTATAACATGTAAGCAACTATAAGCAATTTTACATAAAAATCTCCAGAATGACTTAAGTACTAATTACTCCATTAGCAATACCTAGAAACCTACTACAACCTTGCAAAAGACGGAAGGCAGTTCGTGCGGATACGAGACAGCAGTCCTGTTGTTAAAAAAGTTCAAGAGATGCAGAGGTTCCTGGGGCTGAAGGTGACCGGGAGGCTGGACGCCGACACCATGGAGGTGATTCACAAGCCCAGATGCGGAGTGCCTGACGTCGGGGACTTCACGACCTTTCCTGGCTCGCCCAAGTGGAAGAAAACTCACCTTACTTACAGGTAATGGGTCCAAAGAGGTTGTTTACATAAGATGAAAACTTCATAAGTTACTGCTGCGAAAGGAAATGCTCTCTCCTCTGTTTGTCTTGTACAGGATTGTGGACTATACGCGGGATCTGTCAAGAGATGCCGTTGATGCCGCCATTGCGAAAGCCCTGAAAGTCTGGGAGGAAGCGTCTCCCCTGACCTTCTCCAGGGTGCATGCGGGAGAGGCTGACATCATGATCTCGTTTGCAGTTAGAGGTAAAAACAGCCAACCAATCGTGAACTGTATTCATCGATCTGGTGTGGTTTTATTGGAAAATGGCTAAAGACATTCTAATTACCTACCTATCTTTCCAGCTTGAAAATAGATAGATAGAGATAGATTGATAGATAAATAGTTAAATATTCTTCCTTTCAGAGCATGGGGATTTTATCCCTTTTGATGGACCTGGGAAAGTTCTGGCTCACGCCTACCCTCCTGGACAAGGGATTTACGGAGATGCTCACTTTGATGACGATGAACAGTGGACAGAGGATAAAACAGGTGGGATGTTTAATCACTCACAATGATTTGGGTGTTAATTAGTTTTTATACTTGGAAAACTGTCACTATCCAAGAATGCACAAAGAAATGGGATGCTTAGGATTTTCCAGTGGATAGAAGAACGTATCATCTCTTTTAATCATTGTTGAAGCTTTTTCAAGTGTCTAACACTTCAGGCTCTGTCTTGGAAAGTACAATATAAGAAAGGCAATTGAGTATTCTTTTATGAAAGTAGATCATATGAGATAATCAGCCTATTATTATTAAGGCCAAATTCTCAGATCCAATTTCAGATCCAAGGAATAGTGTATTGCATTAGATCTACAGTCTCAAAAAAAAAAAAAAAGAAGTGCCCTCAGTCATGCATATATACCCCTCCCCCATTTGCTTTTTCTTTAGAACAGAAATCAGAATAAAATTTTATATTCTGTGGCTCGTTTTTTTAGGTTAGCCTTGTTAAATCTTGTTAGCATTTCATTACCTCAGAATTAAGAGTTTTTATGAGTTTGTTCCAAAAGGTAAAATTACCCACAAATATAATGTTCAAATTGTTTAGGTTTCTAAGGTCAAAATCATATATCTTGAGGAATGGCTTCCAAACTTTCAAAAGATCTGCTGAAACAAATGCTAATTCTAAGAGTTGGTTGTCATGAAAATGCAAACAGAATTTCTGGACAGAACAAAAAAAGTGACATTAATGCTAGATAAAACCCTTGGTTTGAGTTCATTAACATCTTCTTGCAAAATCTCCAATGGGGACTTTCCTTGTTCATGAGTCAGAAAGATCACACTTCCACAAGTAAAAGGCCGTTCACTCACTATTTCAATCGCAATTGCCCGGCACTCTCCATACCCACATGATGGGTTTGTTTGCTTTTCATAACGGAGAAAATTATCTGAATGCAGCCTGCAGTTTGAGTGGCCCAAATCTCGTTGGTGACAAATGTTAGACCTAGTTGGGCATCTTGTTTTAAATTGATTTTCAAATCCTATGACCTCCACCTTTATTAATAGTTTTGACTCAATGTAAAATAATTATGATGAGGCAGAAAAATGATGCAGATAACATTCCAGTGGAAAACAAGAGTGTGGCTGTTTAAAGATAGAATTTCAGAATTGAAATGAACACACTGTGATTTATTTAACTGAGACAAATTGGCAAACTCTACTACACTGAATCAGTGGTTAGCTTTAATTTTTTTTCTTGGATAAATGAAGAGAAATATTTATTGAGATTCTAAACTATTGTATTGGCTACAGTCCTGAACAGAAGGAAAGGCATGGGTTCTTGAGACTCAGGCTCTGGTGCTGTGGAGGTGGTAGAGTGGGTGATGCAAGAAGTTAAATGTATTGCATCAGTCATATTGTACCTCTCTAACAATGCGCATTGTAAATTCTAACCTCTACACCAGTGATTACAACTCATTTGGAAATGGATTGTCTTTTTTATGCTAATGAAGCAAGGTTAGTGCAAATGAGCCCGTCTCTTCTGAGATATCAACAAGATTCAATAAGCCAGCTAAAGAGTAAAGAAGGGAAAGCGAGCTGCCAAGCCTCATGAAGCTCACAGAGAAGCAGAAGCCGAAAAAGACAAGGATCTTCCTCCAGAGCCAACAGGGGAAGACAATCTGCCCCTAGCGATCCTATGCTGAACGAGGCCTTCTAGCTTCTTGAACTGTGAGAAATAAATGTGTCTGTTCCTACCATCCACTGTGGTATCTTAAGTCATGGCACCACTGGGTACCTAAGACATCTAACCAGACACTGTGTCTCAAAGATGGAGTTCAAGTATGAACTTTGAAAAACATGCTTGGCTTTCCCTGGATAGTGCAAATGGTTTACACCCTTGGCTGTTAACTCAAAGATTACGTCGACACTGAGGCTCTTTGAAAGGCAAACCTGGTGGTCTGTTCCCCCCCCAAAAAACCGAGCCATTGAAAACCCTGTGGAGAGAATTTGACTCTGACACATGTGACACATGTGACAACACTGTGAAGCCGAGATGCCTGGAGAATGACTCTTCCTCCTCTCCTCGCAGTCTGTGCTCACTGAGCTAACGACCAAGAAAGAGTGAACGGCCCAAACAAAGAGTATGTAGAGCTGACTTAGGGAAAGCGGATGTATTGAAGGGATAGATAATTGCTATTTTTCATTTCTCAAATAGGAACCAACTTATTCCTTGTTGCTGCTCATGAACTTGGCCATTCATTGGGTCTGTTTCACTCGAACAACACTGAAGCTTTGATGTTCCCAATCTACAACGCACTCACAGACCTGGCCCGATTCCGTCTTTCTCAAGATGATGTGAATGGCATTCAGTCCCTCTACGGTACGTGACTTGGGAAAACCAGGCATTCTAGCTCTTCAGAAAAGCTGGACAACAATGGTCCTAAGGGTACTTGAGATTGCTACGTGAGGTTCCAGCCGACAGCATGCCGAGAATGCTTGGAAACCATTTGATGGGGGTATCGCATTTCTCCTAATGTTTGCATCCCTGAATCTGCTTGCTGCAGGGTCTCCTCCTGTCTCCCATGATGACTCTGAGATGCCCATGAAGCCCACCCCTCCAAAACCCGAAAAGCCAGTCATGTGTGACCCTGCCCTGTCCTTTGATGCTGTGAGCACTCTGCGTGGAGAAATTCTGTTCTTTAAAGATAGGTGAGACCAAAACCCTGTATTTCCCAACTGTTCTTTAAGTACTCAAGCGTTGGAAACCCTGGAAGGCAGCTCTGCTCTGTCCTGTTGGTCTCCATGAGTGGGGATGGACTCAAAGCATTGGGTTTGTCTGTTTGGTTGTTGCTTTTGTGTGTGGAGTTGGGGTGGGAGTCGGGGGTGGTGGTGGGGATGTTGGTTATTCTTTTGATCTGTGATGCATAGAGACAAAAATAGAAACCCTTAAGTGATAAGTAAACATTTTAATCTGATTCTACGTTGTCTACAGTTTCCTAAGTGATCAAGATCAATTTTTGGAAATTCAGAGAATATGATTTGATACTTGTCCTTGAGTTTTTCCCAAAGTAATTTGGGAATTACAATCCCAAGTACAATTTTTCCCAAAATGTAATGTCAATTTTTTTTAAAAGGAACAAATAAGTTTTTAGTATAAGAATTTCTATCTTTATCCTCTCTAAAAAATGACACCAGGATAAATATTACATTTAATCAACCCGTTTTCTTGGTGCTGGATAAATACAAACCAAGAACTCACTGCTATTGAGCTGATTGTGACTCAGAGTGACCCTATAAGACAGGGTAGCATTCCCCTGTGCGTTGCTGAAACTGTAACACTTTACGGGAATAGAAATGTTCATCTTTCTTCTGTGCATAAACATGCACATGATAAGGCACATCATTGATCCCCAGTTCCCCAGTTCTCCCCAGATACATTCATACAGAAAAACTATTGTATCTCTGCCCATAGTTCTACATATATTTAGGAATATGTTTAAATAGTACACACACACATACATATCAGCCCATCTTTCTGCAAAATATAAATGATATGTGCATCACAAGTATTTAAAATCTGTACTTGGCAATTGAACCTGTATTGTAAGGCTAGCTTTCCTTATATAAAGATTATTCTGGACCCTATGCCAAGCAGCCCGTCGCAAGCTTTTGAAGAAAGAGAAAGATATTTGCCAAGTGTCAATATACGTGATTTCTCAGACTGTTATGGAGTCTAGAAGATGAAAAAATAGTGGGAAATATGTGAGGCAAGAGGCATATATTAAAAATGAATGCTGTTTTCAATTTACATTCCTTTTTATATTTATTTCAGATATTTTTGGCGCAAATCCCTCAGAACACTTGAACCTGGATTTCATTTGATCTCTTCATTTTGGCCATCTCTTCCTTCAGATGTCGATGCTGCATTTGAAGTTACCAAGAAGGATACGGTTTTCATTTTCAAAGGTAATTATTATATACTCTTTTCTTTAAGGTGGGAAACGAACTCTTTCATAAGAAAATTGAATAAGACTTTAATTTCTCTACAACATCAAATTCTTACCACTGTACTAACCTAAGGTATCGAAGAACCAGCTAAAACTAGAATTATGCCCACTTCTCACTTATTGACATGATTATCCTAAAGAACAGATCATTATGCAAAAATTGGTATTATGTTAACATGAAGAATGGCTACATAACACAGAAACATGGAGGATGGTTATATCATTACATAATTTCCAGATTATATCATTACATAATTGCTAAATTTTATCATTAAACATCTACCCCATTATGTCATTCCATAGCTGCTCAACTCTTGAGAATTATAGCTTAGCCAAATTGACATATCAGTTGACATTAATCACAGATAGTATTACTCATGTCTTACACCTTGGTGCTCACTACTATCAGACATACATGGTGAATGTGCAAAATAGTTGGATAGCCAATATTTTTGCTATTGTTATAAGTGGACAGAGGCACATGAGGTAGTTGATAAGTATGCCTCAATGGGTGTCTTCATATTTTAGAGATGATAAAAACAAATACAGAAAGATAAATTGTCCAGAGTTATAATTTTCTTCATTTTAACTTTGTTCATTTAATCAAGTGGTGATTCAATTGAAAATTTTTGTTAAATGCATACAATGAGCTGGTGGCTAGATTTAGAATGCTGACTCTCTCTCTACTGCAAAAAAATCAAATGACCTAAAAGAAAACAATACAAAATGGGGTACTCATCATTTAATGTAACTCTGAATTATTATTGTTTTTGTTTGTTTTGAACTATCATTTTTAATAAGTATTTCATTTTGTTGTTGTCAAAAATATTCAAACACGGCATACATCAATTCAACAATTTCTACATGTATTAGTCATTGACATCGATTACATTCCTCAGGTTGTGTAATCATGTTCACCTTTCTTTCCTGAATTTTGTCAGAATTAACTCCATGTTAGGGAGTTCGGTGTTTTTGAATTTATTAACATGAACTCCCTACTCCCTAAGGTTCTTATAGAACCTTTTGAGTCACTGTTGTTTCATCCCTACTAGATAGACCTTAAAAAGAGGACAATATTTAAGATCAACTTAGCTAAACTATTGTTTTGCATAAAGTCGGTACCAGAGGATATTTGGAGTTTACTGTTTAAAGATTCTTCTGTGGTTGATTTTAAAATTTTTTGGGTGCATAAGCAAATGTGGTGAAGAAAGCTGATGGTGCCCGGCTATCAAAAAGTATAGCGTCTGGGGTCTTAAAGGCTTGAAGGTAATCAAGCCGCCATCAAGCTCAGAAGCAACAAAGCCCACATGGAAGAAGCACACCAGCCTATGCAACCTCGAGGTGTCGAAGGGATCAGGTGTAAGGCATCATCAGAACAAAAAATCTTACCATAGTGAATGATCGGGGGAGTGTGGAGTGGAGATCCAAAGCCCATTAGTAGGCCACTGGAGATCCCCTTGCAGAGGGGTCTCGGGGAGGAGATGAGCCAGTCAGGGTGCGATGCAACAATGATGAGAAATACAACCTTCCTCTAGTTCCTAAAGGTTTCCTCCCCGCTCCCACTACCATGACTCGAATTCTATCTTGCAAGACTGGCTAGACCAGAAGAGGTACACTGGTACAGATAGGAACTGAAAATACAGGGAATCCAGGACGGATGAGCCCTATAGGACCAGTGGTGTGAGTGGCAAAACAGGGAGGGTAAAGGGAGAATGGGTAGGAAAGAGGGAACCGATTACATGGAACTGTGTGTGACCTCCTCCCTGGGGGACAGACAACCAAAAAGTGGATGAAGGGAGAAGTCGGACAGGGCAAGATATGACAAAATACCCATTTATAAACTATCAAGGGCTCATGCGGGAGGGGGGAGCGGGGAGGGAGGGGGAAAATGAGGACGTAATGTCGGGGGTTTAAATGGAGAGAAAATGTTTTGAGAAACGATGTACAAATGCGCTTTACACAATTGATGTGTGTATGGATTGGGATAACAGTTGTATGAGCCCCTAATAAAATGTTTAAAAAAAAAAATTTTTTTTTAACAGGCACTCAATTCTGGGCCATCAGAGGAAATGAGGTTCAAGCCGGTTATCCCAGAAGTATCCATACTCTGGGCTTTCCTCCCACCATAAGGAAAATTGATGCAGCCATTTCTGAGAAGGAAAAGATGAAAACATACTTCTTTGTAGAGGACAAATACTGGAGGTAAGATGCAATCAGGATGCATTCTTTGGACCCTCAGTAGGGAAAATATTCTCACTCTCTACAAGAAATTCTCTCTTGGCTTGACCTGTCTCTTGACAGGAAAGAATGGTAGACAACCATGGGGGAAGAAGTTAATCTTACAACCTAGCAATACCTCTGACTGATTTTCAGCAGATGAGCTCCTTGTTTGAGGCCCAGGTGCAATTAGCTGAGCTGCCTCTCTGTGCTGCAGCCCCTTGTGTCTGAAACTCTCTCCTCTCCTTCACGAACCCAATTTATCATCCATTCGTCAAGGCCTGGCTGAAGTCTCACTACCTACCTCCAGGAAGCCTTCTCTGTTGGGCAGGACACCAGGGGGTGATTCTTCGTATGAACTTTCAAGTCCTAGGGAATCCAGGCCTCAAAGTCGATAGCATTCTTTTCCCTGCGTGTTATAGCCTGTATGTGCCCTCCCAGGCTCTACACAGTGAAGTAGACCAGAAACACTAAACACGCTATTGGACAAATAACTGGGAGGTGAACTTGGTATTTTGGATGAATGATTCAATATTTTGAATGTGTATTTCTTATACCCCTCATAACTTTGTGACAGACAGAAACTTAAGCTTCTTTCTGCAGTGGCTTAAAAAATAAGATAAGTAGTATCTACTACAAGAGGTTAGTGACCTGGATCCTAGTGGAAATATGGTTTAAGAGCTAAATGTGCAATCTAATTAAAGTCATAGGATTCTGTAGTCTTGCATGTGTTTGACATTTGTTGGACAATGTGTAAATTTTACTAGAATTCTACATCAACCCTGAGATACTTTCCAGGTTTGGGTAACAGAGCTTCTGTGTATCGCTGATCGGTGTATCCTTCCCTGAATGCAGATTTGACGAACGGACACACTCCATGGAGCCAGGCTTTCCCAGGAAAATTGTAGATGACTTTCCAGGTGTTGATCCAAAGGTTGATGCTGTTTTTGAAGCATTTGGTAAGCACACATTTATTATTTTTGGTCTTGGAGAACTTGAAATAGTGTAGTGGATGAAAGGAAAACTGTTCCCTGCTCCCTCACCGAAATTTGCCATTGACTTACTTTTGTGCCAGTTCTATTGCTATTTCAAGGAGCCATAGTGGCACAAAAGGTTAAGCTAACCATTGGCCTGTGAGCCAAAAGTTTGGCGGTTCATACCCAGCAGCCCCTTTGTGGGCGAAAGAGGAGGTTGATTGCTCTAGTAAAGATTTACAGCCTCCAACAGTCTGTGGAGCAGATCCACTCTGTCTCATCGGGTCGCTGTGGGTTCGAATGGATTCTTTGGCAACAGGTTTTTATATGGCTACTTTATATCATGTTTCATTTTAAAAATAATTCAAAAAATGTTCAGGTATCAATCACAAATCTCTCCTTGAAAAAAAATGCATTCAGTGTTGCTTCTGCACATCTGTTAAATAACCATGTATGATTCCGTCAAGCATGGGCTCCATTTCATAGTGGCTGACAGTCTCTCTCGTCTGCCCTATCCTATCACCATTGCTAGTTCCTAAGGAGACTCCCCCTGGCTTCCCTGAGTAGTCAGTCATTGCTTAGACTGAGCCATTTTATGTATTCACCTTTCATGTACCTGAAGTTCCAACAACCACACATACATACACACAAAGAGGCTGCAAAAGCTCTTGGAAAATTAGAATGAAAAGAAAATGGAATTTCTCTCTATCTCTATATCTATATCTATCTATATATAAAATTAAAGACAGGTGAGTGATAGCAGGTGATCTCTATTAAAGGTAACCCGAGCACTATCAAGTTCAAGGAGTCCACTGATCTCAACTGGATTGTCAGAATGGCTCTGCTTCTCTGAGGCCAGAAATACCCTCAGGCTGGGAAAGGTGGGGGTGAGGTGTTAGGGAAGAAAGAACCTAGAGTGCTCACAGTTTCCAAATAGGGCGATACTTTCGTCTGATTGGAAGCAGAAAGCCTCATTTTGCTGTCAGAGCTGGCCTTGAGTGCGGTCTCCCATCTTTTCCTTGCTGCGTGAATTTGGACCAGCATCTGAAGATAAATCTATCTAATCGTCAGCCTGTTCACCTGTAAAATGGAGCTAGATATATTTTTCTGAGAGCATTGCTACAGATATAAATGAGAAAAATCACTTCTATTGCTTGGCATAGTTCCTGCTACAGAGTAAAAGTATAAAATATTCCAGTTTTAGATAGCTATTTCTCTGAGTTTTGTGTGTTGACAAATTTATTTATCTGACAAAAGTATTCCACTCTTTCCCTTTTCTGTATTTGCAGGGTTTTTCTATTTTTTCAACGGAGCTTCACAGTTCGAGTTTGACCCCAATGCACAGAAAGTTACACATGTTCTGAAGAGTAACAGCTGGTTCAACTGTTAGCAGAGATGCTGAGCCGGCGCCACGTGGATCTTCTAAATGAAGTTGTTAACTCTTTCTCTAACCTCTGTGAACAGAAATGGTTCGTTTCACTCTCCACGTGCAAGAGCTGCGGACACTGCAGCCGCTGCTTCAGTCTTTCAGGGCATTCAAACAGACTTCTTAGCTGGCACTTTGGTCACATGGCATCAGCTTCCGCAGGAGAAAGGGAAGCACTCGTGTACGATAGACAAGGGATTGTGTTTATATAGACGAATTGCTTATTATTTAATAAAGATGACTTGCCACTTATTCTACTGTATTGTTTTGTGTGAATGAGTGTGTGTGTGTGTGTGACTATGTCAAGAACAAGTCATTCTCACAACCCCTGGACCATTCTGAAATGACTAGCAGACACCCAGAGATACTCTAACAGTGGGGTGACAGGGTTAGGACCTCCCATGCTAGGGCATCACTCTAGACTCAACCAGAGACTGCAGAGAGTCTATCGCTCCCCCTCCCTTGCACGGTACAAACAGAACAGTTATTTCTACCACTTCCACATGGTATGTGGCCCTTACAGATCTAGGAGAGAGATTTAAGGTAATTACCAACTTGCAGAGTAGGTTTGGTAGAAATGACGAAATAGAATCCTACTGTCATAGCAAAATGCCCAGTTTGCATACACGTAGGGAAATAAAACCTTTTCCTTATATATTCCCTCTCCTGCCCAGCAAACAATCTTCCTCGCAGGTGTCTGCTAAGTCTGAGTGAAAGAAGCGCACCACCCTGTGTGATCCAAAGATGACAAAGAACAAAATCCAAATACAAGTCAGGAAAAAGCATCAGAGCTTAATTTGAGGCACCCAATTTGTAGAAGGCTATGGAGGACAAATGGGAACCCAAAATCCATCTGCAGAGTACCTATGCCTCTGGTGGATAGGCTCTGGCCATCGCCTAGGGATGTAAATAATCGCCTTATTATGAGACAGAGATTATTATACACTCGACTGTCGTGGATGGAACTAAGGTATAATAGGGAACCTGATCAGCTGACCTCCCTCTTGACCCATTCTGGATTTGATCTACATATGACCTCCTCCATAGGGTATGGACAACAGAAAAGTGGGTGAAGGGAGATGTTGGGCAGTATAAGATATGACAAAATAATAATAATTTATAAATTATCAAGGGTTCATAAGAGAGGGGGAAACAGGGAGGGAGGGGGAAATGAGGAGTTGATACCAAGGGCTCAAGTTGAAGAAAAATGCTTTGAGAATGATGAGGGCAATAAATGTACAAATGTGCTTGACACAATGGATGCATATATGGATTGTGATAAGAGTTGTACAAGCCCCTAATAAAATTATTTAAATAAAAAAATTTAAAAACTCTCAATTGTTTCTCAACAGAGGTTTCTCTCTGGCTTATTTTATTTTACTATTCCTGGTAGCCTTTACCTTCTTTGTTTGTGGTCTCTAGTATGTTTCCCAGTATATGAAGCACAGAAGAGGTGAATATGTAGATACATTAATTGATGTAATGGCTTGTTGGGGATATGGCGAGGGTGGGGGCTAAGGGTAGTGGTGGGGTGGGATGTTGAGGGGAACTGGGAAGCAATGATGAATATGGGAGGAGGGGAAGATCACTGGAACTGATTGTGGTAATGTATAGACAACTCTTTTTAAATACAACTGAATTATAGAAGTGTATCTTAGTTATGTGAATGGAATCTCAATAAAACCATTGGGGGGAAAAATTTCCTCACCTGCATCTTATTCACACACAAATACTGATTCTAAGACAAGTTGATCACCCAAAAGTTATGTGCTTAATACAATACATGGTACACAGTAGGAACACATTCACATCTTAGTTTACTCATTCATATGACAATGATGTATTAGGTATATTTTATGTGCTAGGCACTGTACTAGAGTCTATACATAGGATTCTGTCAAAAATGGATAGAGGGTCTCATTGAGTTTAGCCCTTACTACAAGAATATACAGCAAGAAATAAGATTATGTGAATTTAAGACAAACACGAATATGTAATTGCAAGACAATTACAAAGAAAAAAATTAACTACTTTGATCGACTAATGAAAGAATTTACCTTGAACTAAGCAACTCTGCTGGGCAATGGTCAAGTGCTCAGCTGCTAACTGCAGGTGGGTAATTCAGATCCGCCCAGCAGTTCTGTGGCGAAAAGCCCTGGCAATCGTTTAGAATCCCCTAAGGTTCTAGTGAAGAAAATCCTTTGGGGCGGTTCTATTCCGCTCCATGGGGTAGTGGTGAACTGGAATGAACTCAAAGGCACCCAACAGCAACTTTGAGCGAGGAGGTTTCAGAAGGGCTCTTGAAGGGAAGGCTGAGGCCTGTTAAAGTGAGTTGACCAAGTGAAGAGAGAGGCAAAAACATCCCTGGAAGAGGCAATATCCCAGGTGGAGGTCCAGGCACTTTGACAGGGGTCTGACCCCACCCAGGGATGCATTTATCAGCCACCTAACAAGGAGGGGGGAAAGCAAACAAAGAAACAAATGAGGGTGATGGGGGTACCTGGCACTAATATACCCACAGGGAGGATATTTATGTCTGCACAGGATAGGGAGAGACAGCCCAGACCCCATCCCGGAGCACCAAGCCTTGAGGGCAACATGCTGGCATAGAGCAGCAAACTCACACAGAGGACAAAATGAGCTATGTTGACCCCCTCCCCAGAAGAATGTAATACAGAGGACAGCACTGAATATAGAGCCCCTGGAGACTGGTGGGTCTGTCCAGACCACACAGGTGCAAACTAAGAGGAAGAGAGAGAGAGAGACCTGAGCATGACCCACCAAGTCCCAGGGACAGCATTCCTGCTCAGAGCAGCCAATGAACAGAGAGGACCATAGAGCCAGCTCCACCATGAGACACGCTCCTTCACTGTCCCCTAGCACTACGGGGACAGCACTGGAGGTACTATGCAGAAAGTGTGCCCAGTCTGCCCATGCACAACGGGGTGTAACTCGACAGTTGTGCAACAGGCCAGCAAGGAGAGCAAAGTAACAAAGTCCCCAAGGGGATATGGCGAGGGTGGGGTTCCCCAAGGAACCCTGAAAATAGACTTCTGACTCAGGGGACAGGGCTTGGCACCTCATCAGACCCTCTTAGAAAACACCCATAAGGGTCAGCAGACAGACATGACTATCTATCTATCTATCTATCTATCTATCTATCTATCTATCATCTATCTATCCCCGCCCACCCCCACCCCCCATGTCTATATAAGATAGGCAGGACAAACAATCCTGAGAAGAAAATAACAAGACCGCTGGTCCTGGGAGTACCTGGGAGAGGAAGGGTGGAGAGGAGGAGAGGGGAGCCAACAAACTCAGGGATAAGGGAACAGCAAGAGATCTAAAATTGATGGCAAGGAGGGTGTATAATTCCTGGTGGGGTTTGATCAAGTGTAGTGTATCCGAGATGAATTACTGAGAGCTAAATGGAGGATGAGCATGACAGTGGGACAGGAGGACAGTGAAAGGAAATAGAGGACAGACATAGGAGGCAAAAGCTGTTTATAGAGGTATAACTATAGCCATGTATATATGTAAATATATTAATTTATAATGTAATTGATAGAGGTCAATGTTAAGTATTAAGATAACAGACAGACTTTGGACCTCTACTCAAGATCTCCCTAAACACAAGAACACTTTGTTCTAATAACCTGGCACTCTGATACTTACCTTCCTGACACAATCGCCGAAGACAAAATGGGTGCATAAGCAAATGTGGTGATGAAAGCGGTTGGTGCCTGGCTATCAAAAGATAAAGTGTCTGGGGTCTTAAAGGCTTGTAGTTGAACAAGCAGCCATCTAGCAGGGAAGCAAATAAGCCCACATGGAAGAAGCACACCTGTGTGATCATGAGGTACTGATGGGACCAGGTATCAAAAGATTCAAAAACAATTATATCAATGTAAATGAGGGGGGTTGGAGTGGAGACCCAAAGCCCATCTATAGACAATTGGACATCCCCCCACAGAAGGGTTGCAAGGAAGGGACAATTCAACAAGGGCGCAGTATAGCACCAATGAAACACACATCATTCTTCCAGTTCCTGAATGCTTCCCACCACCACCCTCAACGCCCCCCCCCCATCCACCCCACACCACCACTACCATAGTTCTCCCTTACAAACACGTGGAAAGCAGGACAGATAAAACCCTCAGGAACAGTCCTGGGAGTAGTGATATCATGATGGGAGGGGGATGGAGGGAGGGGGAGGGGAGAAAGGGGGAACCTACCTGAAGGTTGGATATATAGCACCCCCTGAAGGGGACAAATAACAAAATGTGGGTGAAGGGGGACAATGGACAGTTGTAAGACATGAAATAACAATAATAATATATAATTGATCAAGGATTCATGAGGGTGGGAGGGTGGTGGAGGGAGGGGGAAAAAAGAGCTGATACCAAGGGCTCAAAGTAGAAAGAAAATGTTTTGGAAATGTTGATGGCAACATATGTACCAGTGTGCTTGATATAATTGAATGATGGATTGTTATAAGATTTGTATGAGGCCCCCAATAAAATCTTTTTTTAAACAATTTTTTAAAAATTTAAAAAGAGACAATAATTATTGCAAAGACTTTGAGGTGGGAAAAGCTGCAGTACACTTGAGAAACGGAAAGAAGACCTATAGAATGAGTGCAGTGAATCGGGTTTTAGTTGGGAAGTAGAATGGGAAAGAGGAGACACATGATGATGTTAAACAGAAAGGCAAATGTTTGTGCTCTAGACCACAATCAGCAACGTTTTCTGCAAAGGGCCACATAGTAAATACTTCAGATTTTGTGAGCCATTCCACTCTCCCATTCATCATAAAAGCAACCATAGACAAAAGGAAGACAAATGAGCATGAGTATGTTCACATAAACATCATTTATGGACACTGCAATTTGAATTTCAAGTGTAATGAAACATCTCTCCCCCAAACCATCCTTCATTCTGGGGTTGTACAAAGACAGGCACCAC